CAGCCTTTCCAAGGGGTATCAGAGCTGCATCTCACCTGGCCCAAGGCATCCGTAATCAGACGATTCCCAAACAACGTATGTCTGAAAATTTCTTCCCATCGATCTGGAATCGGTCGGTCGGGCGCCGGGAGCTTCCTCCATGTGCGTAATAAGCGTAGCCAGTGCGTGCTCGCAGGGTCCCCATTCTTGTCTTTCCTTGGGAGCCTCCAGTATCTGTCCTGCAGCCATACCAGGGGGTCGGCCTCCGGGGGGGCTTCTGGCGCCAGGGCGGCGATTTGCGCCAGGGCCAGGGGGGGCCAGGGGGAAGACGGAGAAAAGATGATATGCTGAAACCAGCGAAGTGTAAGGGCCTGGGATTGTGTGGCCGGGTCCACAATTCCTAGTCCTCCTCTGGTCTTAGGCTGAATCACTGAGTCCCAAGCTACTCGACTAATTGCATGGGGGGCATTACTGTCCCCTCTCCAAAGGGAAGCTGCTAGCTGCTGTTTTAGTGACCTAAAAACTGGTTCAAAATAGATTCAGAAAAGAGTACTACTCTCACTACTCTCATCACTCACTTAATACATTCACAATTACACTTCACATCATAAACATCATATTCATAATAATCATCATTGGCATCATATACATCACATACATCATACTTCATCATATTACATCATGCTACACAGCCATGAAACATAAGCGCCAGAGTATAATCACTGTCACACACTGCCACAGACTCAGTACACACAATAGACAGAACCCTCTTACAGCATTGACTCACGTACTACAGATCATATAGATCATACAGAAGACAGCGTTACAAACACACAAACACACAACTACATAAAACACAAATACACAATAATGACACAATAATGTTAATAATGATAACATCATAATAATGATAGTACAATGATACCTTAATGAGATATGAGGCTGAGCATGCTAGGATGAGCCTTAGATAGTAACATACATCATGGGTTTTGGGAGGGTGGGAACAAGGGGTGGCGGAAGCCACCCCACATCAGTTTCATAATTACACAATTCACTCACATGGTCACTACACTGCACAAGACATTATGCGTTTTTGGGAGGGAGGGGCAGGGGGTGGTGATGCCACCCCACATCAGCTCCACAGTTAGGACTGTGTTTACCTTTACTGTTTCTGCTACAATCACAAGTCCATTCATACAAACAACCACAATGTTCAGGGACGCTGGACCCGCTTTCCAGCAGGTGCTGCTCCCCACCAATAGATGGAGCTTCCCCAATAGTGCGAGTGGTGCCGGCTCGTAACAGCATCCCTAGCATCTGTTCGGGTTGTTTAAAATAAATAAAAAAAAGTTGAATGGTTGTTTTGGCTGGAAAAAAAAAGAAAAAAAAAAAGAAGCCATATCCCGGTTCAAGCCTCCAACGAGGGAACACGTGGGAGCTGCCCCTACCAGCAGGTGCGATACCTGCTACAGCAGGTGGGCAATACCGGCCAGGGGTCAGCCGGCAGCATGAGGACCGAGCTGCTTCTTCGATGGGCCAGTCGCTTTGCCTCCCCTGCAGCCCCCTTCCCCTACCAACATCAGCAGTCTCTGCTCAAATGCCGCTCCAGGGGACCAATGGCCTATCTGTAGGTGGCGGCTCCCCACAATGATCAGCCGATCTCTCTCGAAAAAAGACGAAGACGAAGAAGAAGAAGAAGAAGAAAAGAATACCCCATCGAGCCGCAAGCAGGGCCTGACACGAAGCCAGGAAAGTAGAAAATAATAAATTGAAAAAAGGGAAAGTGAAAACCTCGCTGGGAAAAAAAAAAAAAAAAAAAAAAAACTCACTGGGTAAAAATTACGTTGGAGGTTTGAGCACAGATGTGGATGCTACAAGGTTCCCCGTAATTATTATACTTTAATGACAAAAAAAAAAAGGCTTGAAAGGCCGACCTGTCCAGATTCTACAGGTAATTGAATTGGTTGGGCTTCAAAGAATTAGCCTTTTTTTAATAAACAAAAACAAAATAAAATTATCTTGGTAGATGTGAAGTAGAAGCAGGAGCGTGGTCCCACTAGCAACGGGATAGGATACAAAAGAGTTTGTAAGGCAGTTGCGTGAGACCCAAATCCTGCCGTGCAGTACTCGTGATCCCACGGTCAGTATTTTACATGTATTTTATTGCCCGAAAAAGTAAGGAGATCCTTGTTCCCTCCTCCTCTCCTTAACACTGGGCATGCCGGTGCAAAGGAAGCTTCCCGCCAAAATCTTTTCAATCCGGTGGGGGTATGGCGAATCCCCAAAGAGGGTGGGATAGGCCACAGGCCCACGGGATACAAGATTTTCAGTATTTTGCTTGCTGATGTGCAACAATCATCTCATTGGCTGGATCCCTCCCTCAATCACTTCCTTGGCCCCTCCTCTTTTGCCCACTGCAGGCAAAGCACACTGCAGAGAAGAGGCCCATCACAAATGCACCTCTACTGCTCAACAGATCTCATAACAACCTCAGCCCTGAGCTCCTCTTTTGCCCACTGCAGGCAAAGCACCCTGACACCGCCGGGAAGAGGCCCATCACCAATGCACCTCTACTGCTCAACAGATCTCGAGTTCAAATCCGGTTCCTTCCAACCTTAACCCTCCTCTTTTGCCCACTGCAGGCAAAGCACACCGCCTCTTCGGGAAGAGGCGAGAGGCGGTGTGCTTTGCCTGCAGTGGGCAAAAGAGGACGGGCTAAGGCAGTGATTGGGGGAGGGATCCATCCACCCAATGAGATAACCGCTAAGGTCAATGCACAAGATTCCTTCATTAAATGAACTATCGACCGTAATGATGATGATCGATTGTCCACGAAAGAGTAGTAATTCAGGATCTTTTTTTTTTTTTCTTTTTTTCTTTTTGAAATAACGGGCCCATTGCCCAAGGCTGATATTACCAATAAGAAGATTGAGGCTGGGGTCCTCACAGTCTACCCGGAGTAACCGAACCGAAATTGCTGAGAACCGGGCTCAGCGTCCCTCATGATGAAGATGATGATAATGGTAATGGTGATGCTAATGATGATACTGACAACATCCACCAGCTGGAAATCCTACCTACCAAAAATAGGATGCTGTGCTGGAAATCGGGTCCAGCGTCCGACACTTCTGACTACGTACTGCACGGAGGGAGAGAGGGAGCCACTGGAGGGGGCACCAGTGGGACCTCCTTCCGTACCCTTGCCTAATTCAGGATCATTCCACATATTCTCTGATCATTGTAGAATCTTAAGAATATGTCAGCATGATCCGTGTGGGCTATTTATCCCACGTCTTGCCGTGGGTATACATAAAGTCTCCTTTAAAAATTTCCCTGTTCTCGCAGTGTACTTGACAGTTTCCTGACGAGTGCCTGCAACACCAATCTTTTCCTTCTTTCGTACCTTCTGCTTTTACCACGTGATATGATCCATGTGGGCTATTTATTCCATTTCTTGCCGTGGGTATACATAAAGTCTCCTTTAAAAAATCCCTGTTCTCGCAGTGTACTTAACAGTTTCCTGATGGGTGCCTGCAACAACAATCGTTTCCTTCTTTCGTACCTTCTGCTTTACCACGTGATATTTGGGTACCTAGGAAGAAGAATCCGGAATCAATATGTGATAACTTACTTTCTTTGCCAATGTTGTCTCTGACAGGGGACTGAATGGCAGATCTCAAGTTCAAATCCGTCGTCTCAAAATGACTCTCAAACAACCTTCGACTCTTCGAGAGAAAAAAAAGAAGAGGAGGAATTCAAAATTAAAATCCTAGCCTGCCTATCTGGCGCCCTTTGTTGGAGGGTGAAGAGATACACTTCATAAAATGTCCGGCTCCGTGGCTGCTTTTCAACGTTCTCAACATCCTGCTCAGTCAATCCCCTGGAACCCAGGGTAATCAATGCTGGCAGGAGCCTGCTATATTGCTTTCTGACTACAATATGTATATGGGACGCTGGACCCGTTTTCCAGCAGGTGGTAGTGGTGTCTGCTCTTATCAGCACCACTATCTCCGATAGGAGTGCTTAAAAAAATAAAATAAAATAAAAAAAAATCCTAGCCTGCGGGCTTAGCTCAGTTAGTAAGGCGGCTGCTCTTATCACCGTGCTGGTTTTCCTCAAAAAAAAAAAAAAAAAAAAAAAAAAAAGAGGGTGGAATCCGCAGTGGCCTCACGTACGTGCCTGGGCAAGCTTGGTGTTATAGCAGCTAGAGATAACCTGTTGGCTCTCCAAGGCAGGATTGGCAGGACCTTGGCCAAATATTGTTGGTTGCTATGCAGCAGCAATGATATTGGATATTAGACACCACTAATGCACTACTAGCACGAAAGGCTAGGAGCCCAAGAGGAGACCGTGCTAGCGCTACCGCCCTGACGCCGGCGGACTGGTAGGGCCCGGTCGCCCCAGCTCGACTAGCGCCTGGGGAGAACAGCTCCCCGGCAGCTGGGCCTGCGCACGTGCCCGATAGGTGCGTGTGTTTTGTTGCCACGTGGCGCCTGTTGTTTGGAGACGTGGACGTCCCGTGACACGTGCGGAGGGGTAGCGTCAGCCGTGGGATTACAAGGGGTTCAGAAGAACCGTGTGAACGGCGTAGTTAATTGGGCGTGAGAAGGATTCGGTGGGGGAGCTACATCATAGAGCCGAGGAATGGCTTATCACACTGGAGGAGGGAAGCAAACACCTGCAGACGATAGCGGGGTTGCTCATGCAGCGGCGGCAGGAAGGCGTGGAGATCGATGAGGGGGCGATCTCGATGCATCAGTGGCTGGAGGATAGGACCAAGGAGATGCTAGACATCATGTGGGAGCTGGAGGAGGGGCTGGATCCCCAGCTCGAGGTCTACATCGACTGGAGGCCGGCGGATGAGCGGATGGGTGCTTGCAGAACCTTCGTTACATTGGGCGCAACCTACGCAATCAGCTGGAGAATCGGCAGAGAGTTGGCGAGATGGGTGTGATGGGCGGCAAGGGCGACAAGGACGACTAGTTGGAGGGAGGTTTGGAGGCCGGTGACGATGATTGCGATGAAAACATCAACAATAGCAAGAACATTAACAACAACAATAACATCAACAACAGCGGCATCATGGATAGTGACAAAATTGAGCACGACAGTAAGAATGAGCGCGACAACAACAACAACAACAATGATAACAACGGCAACAACAACAACAACAACAACAACAACAACAACAACAACAACAACAACGACGACGTCGACGGCGGCAGCAACGACTGCGGAAGCAGTGGGGCAGACAGCGGTGTTCGTGCACCTGTGATCATCATCGACATGATGGGGGAGATGCCACATGCGGACGTGGTGGAGATTGGGGTTGACACGGAAAAGTGGTTTGCTATCTCCCCTCCCCTCAATGATAGTGACGGTGATAACAACAACAACAACAACAACGACGACGACGACGACGACGACGAAGGTGGCGGCGATGACCATGGAAGCAGCGGGGTAGAAAGTGGTATCCGGGCATCTGAGATTATCATCAGCGTGATGGGAGTGGACGTGGTGGGATTTGGGGTTGACATGGAGAAGGGGCTTACTGTCTTGTCCCCCTTCTACCTCGATACGGAATTGCTTCCCGTTGTTTGGCAGAGGATAGGAATAGGATAGTCGGTGGTGATTCAATCACCACGGACTATCCTATTCCTATCCTCTGCCAAACAACGGACAAGATTTGGTTTGCCCGGCCCGCAATATCAATCATCAATCGGGTGCTGATCGCCCCGTGGGTTGGATGAGGGCTGTTTAGGGAAGTGTTAGCGGGAGGTCAATCCTTCCCTTGCTCAGGGAAGTAATCAATGCCCCCTGACAGTTTCACACGATAATGCATAATGAATACTGGACTTGACGTCCAGATCATACATATCTCACCATTGATAGAGCCTCGTGTTTCGGCTTGATTGATAAAGATCACACACATCATATTGTGCTTAGGGTTTCGTGATTAGATTTTGATTGATATAGAATAAAGACAGACAGATTGGAGGTAGTCTTATATGGATTGCTGTACATATATAGACAATTTCTGACTGTTGGACATAGATACACACCATTGTATAGGGACGCTAGACCCGATTTCCAGCTGACACAAATCACATCATTGAAACACACATCTAGGTTAGGGTTCCATCTGACAGAAAAGATTGGGAGCGATGCCTTAGTTTGTTTAGGAGATACTGTAGATCAGATGGATAGGGTCTCCCACCATCTGACATATATTGCTCAACGTGCATACATAGGTAGTTGGACATATCAACACATCTCTGCATAGGGATGCTGGACCCGTTTTCTAGCACATACACTCACACCATTGTACAGGGACGCTGGACCTGATTTCCAGCAGATACATGTTCATCATTGTATAGGGACGCTGGACCCGATTTCCAGCAGGTGTAGCTCCCCACCAATAGATGGAGCCTTCGACGCCGGGGCCTACTTCCCGGGGATGCTCTTATCACTTCGATAAGTAGGTTTCCCGTAAACAAAGTTTCAAAGAAGAAAAAAAAAAAAAAATGCACCACTAGCACTGATGGGAGTGTCTTGTGTTAAAAAAAAGAAAAAGAAAAAAAAAAGTGGGGTTGACGGGGGGTTAGGGGAAGGTGCAAATGACTGGCCAAAGATGCTTGGCACTAGCATCGCCGGTTTCCCCGCCGGCAATGCCTGATCACCCCGCATCATCTTGCTGAGGGGCTGATACATACAAGCCTTGCTCTCACACCACTGCTCTGGTGCCAATCTACCCCATGGGCCCGTGGGCTTGGGACAGTTCCCAGTCCAGGTTTGGTTGGTGTTCCCCTCTACTATACATAGAGGAGTAGCGAGGGGATGAGATAGATGAGGAAAATATATACAAAAGCTAGGCTACCAGCCGGGCCGCCCGGGTCCCGGGTGGCCAGCCCGTGCAAGGACCAGGGAAGGTCCCAGCAAAAAAAAAAAAAAAAAAAAAACCGAAAAATCCGAAAAAAAACTATGTTGTGCAGAAAAGTGAACTGAACAACTTTTGCCTCAGGGTCACATCGAAATTCTTCACCAAATTTCGAATAAAAAATAATTTTTAAAACTATTTATTTTCATTTTTATTTTTTTATTTTTTTGGCCCGGCCGGGCAAGTGACCCCGGGCCACTCTGGTAGCCTAGTACAAAAGAAGATTGGGAGAAGAATATAATTATATAGATTAGATTAGTTTTTAAAGAAAATTTCAAATCCTGCCAACCACTATCAAGTCAGGGGCTAAGGCCGCCCGTATACAAAAAAACTGTAGAGTTGTTACAACAGACATGAGACAAGAATATCGACATTCAGCATCGGGATCGGGATCACAACCTCAGCAGTAATCTCTATGGCCTACTTATGTAATGTACTGTGCAGGTGAGATGTACACACTGAGGACGTCCCCACACCACTCTCGAACTGTGCAAAATGAGAATGAACTTCCCGCTAGATCATGGCCAGATGCGCCCGCCAAATTGTTGTCTTTTTCACATTTCGAGAGTGGTGTGGCTAGGCCCTGACTCGACGAACAGCACACAACCGCGTGCTGCAATCTTGCAAAAGACTTCCAATAGGAGGGGGAGGAAATAATCCACAGCAACATCATGAATTCTGATTCTCCTCTCAAGCGTAAACAAATTACTTCTGGTGGGCTGGTGGGTTGGTTCTGAGGGGGAGAGCTCTACTCTGTAAGGGCTTCACAAGGAGGGAGGTGATTGCCCTGAAGGGAGACCGGGCAGATTTTGGGGGATGCTTTATTCTGGGGCTGGGGGAGATGTACGGGTCGGCATCATATCCCAGCGGTGGCAGATAAGGGCAAGGGGTTGGCAGAGGCATACTTTGGTTGGGAACTGGATGCCTTTGTGGGAGTAAGGGGGGGAAACAGGTCTGTCCCAAATTGGGGCCGACAAGGAGTGCTCGTGATCAGGGGCGGTCCTTGTCGGTGGAGGTAGCGGTGGGGCAGGGGGATGAGGGGAAAGGGGGGAATTTCTATATCCTTTGCTTGTATTTGGTTGAGATTTTTTCTGATTCCTTACGGAATTTTCAAAACAAGCAACCTTGTTATTCCTGGTAGTTTGAAGAATCTCTCAGGACTCAGAGGGACTGCTGGTGGTTTGTGCGAAGCTGCACTGAAATTAAACAGTTATATTCAGGATCCGTGGCTGTTCCATGCCAGAATGACGCTGGCCGAAGCCGGGTGATGCCCTGTAACTTGCCGAAGGTGAGGGCATGAGGCGTTGTAGAGAGATCTAGGGATGCTATGCGTAGGCATCCTAAGGGACAGTCGGGGGTTGCTGACACAGGACGACACTGGTCGGAGCTGGAGTGAGTCGTGTTGCTCTAGAACCTAGCGGATAGGGGGCGTGAGGCCTGGATGAGTTTGTCAGAGAATTAAGTCAGTTTTGGTGAACTTCGTTATGATCTATTGTGAATCCCTTAGATACTTGAGTGTTCGGATAATTGCGGTGGATTTCAGGAGGTGTTTAGCGATCATAAAAAATGATTCGTAGTTTTTTCATCATCTATCGCGATTTTCAGTAGCTTGTTCATGATCTTTGAGGATACTCTCAAGCCGAAACCGGGTAATGGCCCTGATACCTCAATTTGCTCATAAATTGTTTTTATATGTCTTCATATGGGACGCTGGGCCCGATTCCCAGCACGTGCTGCTCCCCACGAATAGATTGGAGCATGTCTTCCCCCCCCCAAAAAAAAAACAGACGGAGCATGACAGAACATTGTCAGACACTTTTCTCGACATAGCGAGGCTGTCGCTACCGCCGCCTTGCTCTCAACAGAATAAGTGTCCACCCGTGGAGCAATGCCGACTGGGAGTCCGTTACTAGTTTCAGCTTCTGCTAGAGGCGGCCTCATCAGGGGAACTCCCCCACTAGTTGATGTGATGATTGCCAACCAAAATAAAAATCTATGTCACAACCTAGAAGTTTTCTACTTTTACTCTTTTTTTTTTTTCCTTCTGTTTTTTCCCTTTCTTTCTCGGTGGCCGCAGAGGTGTCCAACTGTACTGCACCCGACAGGTCTAGGCCACGTTCACGTTGGTATATATGCGATTGGGCCGGGTGTGGTTGGGTGCCAAGGGATAAATGGGGTATGATTGGATATGGGTAGGTATGGACGGGTGGGGAATGAGCTTTCATGACCTTGGAAAGACCCATAGTCATGGGTTTCTGCCTACTAAAGGTTATTATCATTGTGTTACTGCATTGTTATACTTATTTTTTTTTTTTTCCTGACTGCATTGTTATAATACAATGCGGTGTATTACCAAAAAATAAATAAATAATAATAGTAATAATAAATATACAATATATGACTCATTCATAAACATTTTAGCAATTGATTGCGTCCGTCGTGCCGCCTATGTGCTTGGGACAGTAGCTCATAGAGTAGTCGCCGCACCAAATCTTCCTTGCGAAACAAAAAATTAAAAAAAATAATAGACAGTATTGTAACACAGTAAAAAAAAAAAAAAAAAAAAAAAAAA